TTCAGCAGTGAGTATCTAATGAAGGAAAGCTAACTCGCATTTACAGCATGGCGCAATCTATTAGATATACTAAACTCCGCCCCTCCACAGTCAACGCCAGTCAAGCGGGTGCAGGGAACTTGGAGATCATCGTGTCCGTCAACGGCTGCAACGTGCCCAACTATGTCCAGTCTGAAGGCAACGCCAAGTTCAAAGTCAACTTCAAGCCCCAGGAGGCGGCGCCGCACAGCCTCAGCGTGCGGTTCAACGGGGAGCCCGTTCCTGGTGAGTACGGTTGCCTCGCCCTAGCCGCCAGCGCTGCCCTCTGTCTAACGCCCGCTAACCCCCGCGCCTTTCTCTTCTCGACCAGGTTCTCCTTTCACGTGCAAGGTGCTGGACTGGAGCCAGGTGCTGGTGTCGGGCCCGGGGCTCAAGGCGTGCGCCCTGGGCCGGCCCGCCAGCATCACCGTGGACCCGCAGAAAGCCGGGAACGGGGCCGTACCTCCGGGCGGCGGGACGTGCTCCATCAGCGTCCTGGCGCCCTCCGGCCGCACCCTGCCCTCCACCACCTCGCAGAGCCCCGACAACAAGTTCACGGCCACCTTCACCCCGGAGGAGGTGGGCCGCCACAGCCTGACGGTGGCGCTGGACGGCGAGCCCGTGCGCGGCAGCCCCTTCGCCTGCAACGTGTACGACGTCAACAAGATCAAGGTGACGGGGCTCGGGCAGTGCAAGGTGGGCAAGCCCGCCACGTTCACGGTGGACGCGTGCTCGGCGGGCGAGGGCACGCTCGAGCTGGTCGTGAGCACGGAGCGCAGCACGGTGAAGGCGGAAGTGGTGGCGTGCTCGCGCGGCTTGTATGACGTCACCTTCGTGCCGCACGAGCCGACGCCTCACTTCGTCAACATCTCGTTCAACGAGGAGGACGTCCCAGGTAAGACAATGCCGGCGAAGGATTGGCCGGAGTGCGTCCTGCTTGCGTCGCGTTACTGAAGTCTCACCTCTTATCTGTCCTCAGGGAGCCCGTTCCGGTGCGAGGTGCTTGAGCTGGGCGCCAAGGAGATGCGCGCGATGCAGGCACAGCGCCGCGAGTCTAGGATGGTGGGCGTCAAGGAGAGCGTCCGCGGTGCGCCCGCCCACTTCCATGTCGACCCCAAGGGCCTGGAGGGCCACATTGACATGGAGGTCATCGGTGAGTCTTGGGCTGCTGGACCAATGCAAATCACTTCACATCGTTAGCACGTCGCTGATGCCTTTCCTATCCCCTCCGCAGGTCCTGACGGTGCCGCAGTTCCCTGCACGGCAACTCGGCTCCCCTCGGGGCTGATCCGCGTCGAGTACCGGCCGCAGCAGGTGGGCCTGCACACCGTGTCTGTGTACCACAAGCAGCAGCCGCTCACCAAGCAGCCGCTGCACGTGCAGGTGTTCGACCCGCAGCGGGTGCGCGTCCAGGACCTGAGCGACGCCTTCTGCCACCGCGCCGCCACCTTCAAGGTCGACACGAGCGGCGCGGGCACGGGCACGCTCACGGTCTCGGTGCGCGCGGCCGGCATCGACGTGAAGCACTCGATCCGCGAACTGCATTCAGGGCAGTACGAGGTGGTCTTCCACCCGAAGTTGGCCATACCCCACCGCATCGACGTCAAGTACAACGGCATGCACGTCGCCGGCTGCCCGCTGGAGGTGCCCGTCCAGAACCCGGCCGTGGGCCAGGACGTGATGGCCACGGGGTTGGGGCTGTACCAGGCTCGCGCAGGCCGGGTGTCGTCCTTCGTCATCGAGACACTCGGTCACCCGGCCAAGGAGTTCGACGTCGTCATCACCGGGCCGCACTCCACGGCCGTGCCCGTGCGCTGCTACCAACAGAAGGACGGCAACCTCCTCGCCGAGTTCACGGCCACCTCCGCCGGCCTCTACAAGATCGAGGTCTTCCACGGCTCGCGCGACGTGCGTGGCTCTCCGTACCACTGCCAGGTGTTTGATGCCAGCAAGGTCAAGGTGGAGGCTGTGGGTACCGCAGGAGGTACGCCGCTTTCCCACGCAGTATCCGTCAACGAGAAAATCGCCTTCAAACGTGAGTACATCCCATGTTTACCCAACATTTCCAACCCCCTAAATCGGACTGTGATTGTAAATCTGTTTTACCCCTCTTCAGTCCAGCGCAAACAGGCTGGCTTTGCGGAGCTGGACGTCATGGTGACAAGTCCGCTGGGACAGGACCTCCCCCTCAAGGTGAACGCGTGCCCCGACGACAAGGACTGTGACCTCATCGAGTTCGTGCCCAGCCTGCCGGGTAGCTACCGTTTCAACATCACCTACGGCGGCGAAGAGATCCCCGGCTCTCCCGTGACATTCACAGTGGAGGAGGCCGGAGTGGCGCGCGCGCACGGGGAGGGTCTGGCCAGCGGCCGCGTCGGCAGCCAGGCGACCTTCAAGGTAGGTCCTCTGTTCAGATTTCAGGACCTGCAACTCGCGCCCGTTTCTCCTCTGACGGTCTGGCTGATTTGCCCGCAGGTGTCCGGTGCCGGGCTGATGGGCGAGCCTCAAGTGCAGATAGACGGCCCTGAAGACGCGGTGGACTGCCGCGTCGAGCGCACCCCTGACGGAGACTTCCTGGTGACCTACACTCCGAACGAAGTGGGTGTCCACGACGTGCGCGTCGTGTGGGACGGGACGGACGTTTCCGGCTCGCCCTTCCACCCGCGCGTCGTGGACCCACGGAAGGTGCGCGTCATCGGGGGCTGGGAGGCGCACTGCGACTCCCGCGGCCGCCTGGAGCTCGCCGCCCACGTCACCAAGAAGATTAACTTGGACCTGGCGGATGCCGGCCCCGGCCAGCTGACAGGCGAGTGCGTGGGGCCCAACGGACAGACTGTGCCCGTGGCCGTGGAGTCGGCGGGTGCGGGCGGCACACGCCAGCGGCTGCTGCTCACGCCTCGCGGCCCGGGCGAGCACAGGCTCACCGTGTTCTACGGAGGCGCGCCGCTGCCCAGGATGCCGCTGGTTGGCGTGGCCGAGGCGGGCGGCGCCGGGGCCGGCCCTGTCAGGGTGGTGCTCACTGGGCGCGGACTGGCCGCGGCCAAGGCGCACCAGGAGGCCGAGTTCACCATCGACGGGTCGCAAGCGGGACCAGGTGAAGATCGCACCGATCAGTTCGAGACGCTGCAGTTCCAAAGTGCTTGATCTATCTTACTCACGACCCGCTCTATCCCCACAGGCTCCCCGGAGGTGTCAATCACGGGCATGAAGACGGAGGTCCCCGTGCAGCTGCACCCCATGGGAAACAGCGTCTACCGCGCCACGTACACGCCCGCCGCGGCCGGCTCGTACCTGCTCAACGTCATGTGGTCCGACCGCCAGGTCAAGGGCTGCCCGCTCAAGGTGCAGGTGACGGCCGTGGCGGACGCGTCGCGCGTGCTGTGCTCCGGGGACGGGCTGCGGGTCGGCACCGTCGGCAAGGAGATCCGCTCCTTCATCGACACACGGCGCGCCGGCCCCGGGGAGCTGACGGCGCACTGCGCGGGGCCGCACAAGGTGGCCTACTGCGAGCTGTACGACCACGGCGACGGCACCTTCACCCTCAACGTCAAGCCCCAGGAGGCTGGCAGACACGCGCTCACCGTCAAGTACGGAGGTGAGTGACGAGAGACTAGTTGAGACTGCTCCACACCCTGCTTGTTCCGCTCTCCATTTTCGTCGGGCCTAACCTTTGCTTTTCCCCGCAGGCGAGCATGTGCCCGGCAGCCCCTACACCCTGCGCGTCAACGGCGCCCCGGACGCGAGCAAGGTCCGCGTGTACGGCCCCGGTGTAGAGCACGGCGTGCTCGCCACCTTCCAGTCCAGGTTCATCTGCGACACACGCGGTGCCGGGGCCGGCCAGCTCACCGTGCGCATCCGTGGACCGAAAGGTGAGCCTCGCATGCTGTTCGAACAGGCCCATCTCGGCCCACTAAAGAGACACTACTGACAGCCGTGCGTCTTTGTCTCACAGGAGCGTTCCGCGTGGAGATGCAGCGCGGAAGCCAGAAGGACCGCACCATCCTGTGCAAGTTCGACCCCACGGAGCCCGGTGACTACCGCGTCGAGGTGAAGTGGGCGGGCGACCACGTGCCCGGCTCTCCGTTTGCCGTCATGATCTTCGACACGCAGGAGGAGCTGAATCGATTCCTGCAGGGCAACCACTCCCCCGGCAGTCACTCGGAGCTGTACGGCAGCGTGGCCTACTCCACCAGCTACGCCATGCTCAACACGGGCGCCTCCTGGAGAGGTTCCCAGGCCCAGCTGTGAATGAGTGTGAGTGAGTAAATGTGTGTGAGTGTGTGTGCGTTTGCGTGTGTGAGTGCGAGAGCGAATGAGTAAACCAAGAAACCAGACCGCAGTACAAAAAGCCCATACCGTCCAGGAACACGAAATTTCAGCTGATTCGGAGTAGTTTCCCACTGCGAGGCTAATGTGCTTGACGCTTCACAAGCTGCTTGGCCATTCCAAGAGAACGTTCAGAATTAATTTTGAGCTTAAACTGACTGGCTGGTTATACAACCAAGCAGTTGAATAAAAGATCAAGGGTCCGGAGTAGCATGATTGAAGCTCATTTTTCTACCCCCATGCTGAATGAAAATGTAAATGGATACTGTGTTTTTCACGAAGATGTAAAAGTTGCCATATTATGAAGTATTATAATGAATTCGAATTTTAGTCCCGATTAATGTATTTGTATATGTGTAAAAGAAAAGAAGTCCTAAAATGGGTAACTTTATCTAGTAAAGGTGCTCAGTTTAGGAATGAACAGAGAAGATTGCTTGAGCTCCCTCTGCTTTTGTAGCCTAATAATTTTATTATAAATATGTTTGTGCAGTTCTAACCATTTTAAATCAGCTAACCATAGAATTTTAAAGGTAAGATGCCAGAAATGATTGGACTCTAAAACCGACTGAGATGAACTATGAATTTTGTATGAACTTAATGGACCATTAATTTTGAAATTCAGTTTTATTTTACCATTTGAACAGAGGAGTGTAAAGCGATTTACAAACTTAAAAATTGACAAATTTAGGAACGTTATTTTCTGTTTTAATTTATACTTTATTCTACATGTTATGAAATAAAACGTTTAAAACCTACCCACTCTTTTATTTGACACACGCCCTCTTCTTCCTCCTCCACCCTGCTTGTTTCGGGAATCCGAACAAGTCGAGACTCGCACCAGTACGTACCTCTTGTCTGTTCGTTCAGAGCTCGAGTAGCGCCTGGTGTGCAGGCAACCCATCCGACCCGCGCCGCGAGGGGGAGCGCGCAACCGTAACCCTCCTAAGCGCGCGATGTGCCTGCCGGCATGCGCACTTATCAAAAGAAAGAGTAAAAGAATGACGCGTTGTGAAAGTCAAGTCGGCCGGGCGATCCTGGCGTATCTAATGCGGCAGTGCCAAGGCTGTGCTGCCCGGGGGTCACTCGGCTTTGACCGATATTATTGCAGCGGATTCGACAACGAATGCAGTATCTACTTGAGAACCGGATTGAAACCGGTTGCCCAATCTCGCTTCTCGCTCAGCTCCGTCAGCGCTGCTTCGACGCGAATGGAGATTCCGAAATCGAAATGTCAAAAATGTGAGATTATGCGCCTCGAACTGTGTTTATCCCTATCAGGATCAGGCTACATGACGCCGAGTTAAGCCCATGTCGCTGACACCTGAGGCGCAATATAGACCATTTCAACACGGCTCGACATCTCGGAAGTACGACTTCACTCGTCCTCGTCCTAAATTTAATCGAAAATACGTCTTTATGGGCGGTGATTGTCCCACGGGTCAAACGGCAAAATCAACACCTCGCTGAACGCACCAACCCTGACCCCACCCAGGTGAGATCGGTGAGATGGTACAAGAAGAGAGCCCCTGAGAGGCATGCTGCACCGCATGCAGCGGTGCATGCGGGTCGCCAAGAAGTCACCGCACGAGGCGTCTCAAAAGAAAACTTACTCGCATGTCGCGCAGGACACCCCAGGAAAGCCTCTCTGCGACGTTGACAGACTTTTCATATTCAAGCAGCACTATGTAACGAACAAAGGCGCTCACGGGCCAGGTGACAAGAAGCCCGGAGGTCCAGGTCCACCTGCTAGTTCCACGTGTGTGGCGGTGGCTCGCCATCGCCGGTATTCCATAAGGCGTTTTGCATCCTGTTGGCTCGTGAGCTCCTAGCCTGCGCCTGCGGCCGTGCCTCACCGCGTCCCCACACACGCCGTTTTGCCCGGAGGCAAACTAGCAGCGCAAAGTCTGGCCGCCGCGTCCCACCGCGTCGTGTCGCGGCCCGGCCCGGCGCGCCCGCCGAACAGCAGAGCCAGCCGTCAAACCAACGCGTCGGTCGCCGCGTCGCGTTCGCATCGCGCCGCCCCGCGCCGCCCCGCGCCGCTCCTCGCCCCGCCCCGCCTTGCCGGCCCGGGTTCCTTTCCTCAGCTGAGTCAGTCGGACTCTAATCGCCATGGAGAGTGGAAGCGACTGCCGGCTCTCGCGTTCGCCAGGTCGGACCACCGGGCCGGCTCTCTGATTCCGTCGAGTACTCGGTACTTTGTCGACGTCGTCCTCGGCAGTGAGTGACCCGTCGTGCCGCGCCTCTGCCGCGCCCCCGCGGACCTGGCAGCACTCGCACCCCGCGTCCAGCTCCCCGCCCGGGCGCCCCGGCGGCTCACCCTTACTGGATACGTACCCGTTGTTGGCAGCAGCAACACCCAGCCACCGCCATGTCCCCCACGTCGCAGCCGGGCGTCGAGCTGCACGCCCAGGACTCCCACAGCTACCAGCACACGTTGGTGAGTACCCTGGGCTCTCTTGCATCACTTTGTTATTGACGTTACGCCGGATGGGGGTTGAGGGAGGGGGCTCCTTCCCGTCGGCCACACACCGAACACGATCACTGTTCTGCGCCGTTTCTGAGGACGCCGGTGCGTGTGTGATTAGGTGGCACCTGGAAGTAGGTTGCGTTGCCGTGCTCGTTACTTGTGACGCGGCCCAGCCCATTACCCGCGCCGCAGCGCTGCGTCTCCGATGCGCTCAGAGAAGAAGACGAATCCTTTCCTTTTCCCAGTGGGGGGTCGTACGGGAGATGCACCTGCTGGGCGATGGGCTCGGCTGGGCGGCGAAAGGCTCGCGGGCGCGAGACTGAAGTCATCCGTTGTGGACCAAAGATTTAATATATCTTGTTTTTTTTGAACTGTGGTAGTTTTAGAGCCATAACCTTCAACATGTCACCACTCCAAGTAAAATTGTTTACTAGTATGATGAAATGAAGTGAGGGAGATTGGATATGTAAGTTTTCAGAATATTTCGATACAGTGCCTGTGCCTATGCGTTTCGTCAACACTAGCTTACACCAAACCCCCTTGTTCAGAACCTACTCAAAAACCGAACAAATTTCACAAAAAGTTGATTTTATTTTATCCAGTAGCTAGGCCGCGTTGGGCGAGCTTGTGAGTGACCCTATTGTGGGCTGACCCGAGTGGAAGGGGTAGGACCCCCCGGAGAAACCTGACGCGGATTCTGACGCGGCGCAGGGTGGCGTCGAGTGGCGTCCTGTGGGGAAAGAACCGTGCTGTCGTCAACATCATGGGACCGCAGAAGTCAAGAAAAGATCAGACGTCCCGGGGCGACGCGGGGCGACGCGGGGCGACGCGGGGTGCTGCATCAGCGCCCTCCTGCACCTCGTTTTCCTTCCCCCTCCCGTCCCGGTCCCGGCCAGCGCGGTCCCGGGCCGCGCTGCAGGCAGGGGCGGCAGGGCCAGGGTCCGGCGGGTCTGGCGGCGCTGGCCTTATCTCAAATGATCCCCAGAGCATCGTGACTCGAACGATAGCCGCGGGGTCCTATCGCGGCCGCCTCGCCAAACCGCGCGGGGGCCGGCGGCGCGAGTCGCTCGCGTGGTCGCCGTCGTGATGTGTTGACATCGGCGGGCGCAACATGTGTGAGGGGCGTTACCGCCAGCGAGTGAAAAGTCTCGCCGCGCCGCCGCCAGCAGCGGCTGCATCACGTGCGCCGGCGGTGTGCAGGACTCTGGCCCGCGGGCGACCCGTCCGGCGCAGGCACAACAGCTGATGCTCGCGCGCACGCACACGCACGCACGCACACGCACGCACGCACACGCACGCGCGCACGCACGCCACTGGGCCCACAGCACAGGACCACCGCCGCCTTGATTGTGGCCGGCGCAGCGGATGTGCAGCCCGTCCAGCCCAGCGCAGTCCACCTTTGTGTCGGCCGGGACTCTTATCTCGCCTCGGGATGCTGAGCGGGCAGCTCCGCTGGCTCGCGGCCGTCGCGCAGCGTCCTAGAGAGACGGGCTGCATTGCCGCTGCACTTCGCGCCTCCCGACCCCGACGACGGCGGCGGGGGTTTCCTGGACCAAAAGTGTGGCATGCGATCCGCCCCTCCCCGGCAGTTCGTTCGCGTCGGTGGCACAACAACTCCAACGCCGCGCTCTGCGGGGTGACGTGACGGAGGACGAGGAGGCAGGTCGTCGGCATGGGGACGCGCAAGACCGCAAGAACCTAATTTCATCTATTATACTGCTGGTTTGTGCCACCTGGTCGGTCGTCGTCGAGCGAGCGCCGTCTTCGTATTAGACAGTGACAGTCACCAGCAGCAACAATCGACTTCAACAAACATACGTCCTCCTTTCACTAGAATGGCGTTCCCCTGACCGCCCGTCGGCGTCGGCCCCCAGCGAGCAGTGTCG